GAAAGAGCAGTCACTCTCCTGCAAGTTGGTGGGACCTGCAGGACTGGCTCTCTGGAGCAGGCTTGGCCAGTGGACCTGATGTTAGGGTTACTGTTGCTTCTAAAGTAATAGAAGGATTTTGACTGGAAGGGATGTTCAGAGATCTCTAGTCCAATCCTTGGTTCTTCAAAGTTGGAGCAGGTCCCTCAGGTCCTCATCCAGCTGAGCTTTGAATAGAAGGATTCAAGGTCGTTGTTCCAGTGCTGCTATCATTTTCATGGCTGAGGATGGGGTCGTAGCATTAGGAAGAGGATGGATTTATTTGCTTCTACGTACACAACTTGTTGGGGTGGGGTTTTTTCTCTTTTTACAGGCCAGAAGCAGCTGACAAAGGACCTGGTGACGCTGCCAGTGCGTGTAGACACCCTCAGCATGCAGAAGAGGCGAGAAGATCTGGAGAGGAAGCTATCTCAGATAGAAGAGGCCATAAACATTTTCTCAAGGCCCAAGGTCTTCATCAAGTTGGACTCCTGAGCCAGTGGGGCCAGATGTGCTCTACTGCTCTGTGTGAACATCCTTCATTGCTGGGCAAGAATGGACATCACATTGGGAGGGATGGAGAGGAAGGCAAATATAATATTCCAGACCCTGGATTGCAGGTGCTGATACAGTGTCCAGTGTGTAGGTGGCATCTGTTACTCACCTTCCAGTGCTTTTCTCATCCACAGAAAAGGGAGGGAGATGTCCTAATATACTCCCTGCCTGGTGGTCTGGAGAACAGTTGTGTCTATGCTGCTTGACTTCTCATAGGTGAGCTCTCTGCTCTGGATCCATGACATCGCCTCTTATTTTGCCATTTTTTCCCCGTTTCTAGAACCTGATAGGAGGGCTCCCATCCTGTCCTTGTCCCCTTATTTCTCCTGAGTTGGTCATGGTTCATCCTGGGCACTTGCAGACCTGTCTGCACAAAGACCTCCTGCATCTTTTGTGTGCACCCTGATGCTGAGCTCACGCAGCCTCTGCACCCTCCAGCCTGCTGGCTGGGCTCAGCAGCTCGGGGACAGCTTGAGCAGCTGTGTTTTCTGCTCAAGAAGGGGATGGGCTGGCTGCAGAGGGATCTGGCAGAATGTCTGGAGAAGCCATTGTGGTATGTGGGGTGGGAGATACTCCAGTAAGTCTTCGCTTCCATCTGCATCACTTCCATCAGTGTGTGTGCAGCCCCAGTGGGCCCAGCAGGGCCTGAGGAGTGGTGGTGGGCAGCAGAAACCAGCAGCACTGGCACAGTGCAGGCAGGGGATGAGCCATGGGTTTCATGAGGCTGAGTGCTGGGACATGGTGGTGGACACGGAGTGGGGAATGTGCCAAGTCCTGCTGGATCTCCATCCGCAGACTGGCAGAACAGGGCTGGGCAGTTGCCATCACAGAGGTGAGCTCACTGCCTCCTTAACTTCAGATGCCGTGCAGGGACCTGTGCAGAACTTTGCAGAGATCCTGCTGCATGCAGCGAAGGAAAATATAAGCTAGAAGGGATCGCTGGAGGGTTTGGTGCATGTCAGCGTAGAGGCAGCACCAGAGCTTGGAGCAATCCAGCTGAATTAGGAGAATCTCCAAGGATGGGGTTGTCACCATCACCTCACTGGATGCTGTGCAGTTCCCCCAAGTAGGTACCTTGTTGCAGGAATTGCTCCATCCCAGGCAGGATTTTGAGGGATGGGGATGTTGCAGAGCATTCCAGCCCTGGCTGCACCACCTGGTGCTCTGCAGTGCCCTGGGATGTCAGGGCTGATCATGCTGCCAAGGGCCAGGGAAATGTGGCACTCAGGGGATGGAGAAGGTGAGATGCTAACCAGAAAATCACCCCACATGCCCTTGGGGCTGCCTCAGGGCAAATGGCATGGCCAAGCTGAGCTGGTTGGATGAGACTGACTGGGGGCACAGCCCAGGGCACCTCCCTGCCCTAAACAAGCCTGGGCTAACCAGCCCTACTGTCGGCTTTGCTCTCTGTCTGTCTGGGTCTCTGAGTGTCCTCAGCCCTCACTGCTCTCCCTGCCTGCCTTGACCAGGCTGGGGCTCTGGATGGAGAGTTGGTGCTGGCCCTTCAGACCCTGAGAGCTGCAGGTCCTCCTCCCCGCCCAGTCCAGCCGTGTGTCCTTGGCAGAGGCCGGTGAGAGGTCCCTGTGTTTATAGGGCCCTTGGCAAACAGGCAAGAGAGCCAGCGCAGCCAGGCCCTCAGTGCTGATCCAGCCTGGCTCCTCTCATGTGGCTGCTGGTGACATTTCAGCTACAGTGGCACAGGGACCTGCATGTGGTTTAGGTCTTGGGGGTCAGTGAAGGCAACAGGACACAGCCCCTCTTTCCTGCAGAGGTGACCAGCTCTGCCTCTGGCTGGGGTGTGCACCCATGCCTGCACCCAGTTTTGCCCCAGGTGAACCAGGCCAGGGCACCTGGCACCATGTGCACTCACTTCCCACAGAGTTTGATCTGGGAGAGCCTTTGTGCCATGAAGGGTCTGGCACCATGCTGGTGCCCTTGCTCCTCAAGCACTTGTGTCCTGCTGGGGTGAACGGGCTGGAAAACACTGCCCTTGGGTGCACCCTCCCTGCCCAACCCATGCCTGGGCTGCTTCACCAGCAAATGTGGCTGGTGACCCTGGCACACTGGGCTACAGGTGTTGGTGTAATGCTGCAGGATATGTGGCAAGAGAGGGTGAAAGACTATGAGAATGGCCAGCCATGATGTAGGCAGGCCTGTTCCCAGCCAGGACAGGAGGAGAACCTGTCATCACTGTGGGTCCAACTGGTCCCAGCAGCAGTGCCCCACTGGGGTGTTGTTCCATCCCTCCCTGCAAGCAGGATGGTGCTAGGCCAGGGCTGGGCCAGGCCAGCAGCAAAGCAAAGACCAAGGCCACCATCAGCCTGGCCCTGCATTGTTGGGAGAGGAACCAAGGGCACTGGGAGCCTGAACAGAGCAGGAGGGGCAGGTCTGCCCCTCACTGAGCTTGGAGCTGGAGACCAGAGCAGCAGCATTTGCAGGGCTGACTGACAGCCACAGTGCTGCTGCCAGCCCAGGTGCCACCTGCTTCCCTGCAGATGCCACCAGGTGTCCCCTGCACAGTGAGGGCACCACAGCAGGGACAAGATGTGAATGAGGGGACTGCCTGTTGCATCAGGCCACCATGCCAGGCTCACTGCCCAAAGCAGCCTGGACATGTGTCGCACGACAGGGATGCTTAGGGGGAGGGATGTGCTCCAGCATCCCTCCTCCAAACCCTCTTTCCCCACAATGTGTTTTGCTGGGGTCACCCAGCACAGCAGCAAAGCCGCTGTGTGTGCCAGGTTCAAGGCCACCACTCCCAGGCACTGCCTTACCTGCCCCACTCGCCGTCCCCCTCCTGCCTGTGGTGACACGAACCAGCGACAAGCACGGCACTTTCTAGAAAAGGTTTTACTGTCCGTTGCAATATATTAATTCAGGATGCATATTTCGATAAAACAATTAAAAACCCCCACTCGACTGGAAGGGGAGGCAAGGGGGCTCGAAGGGCAGTGCCCGGCCCGAGTGGGCACCACA